GGGTCTCCGGCCACGCGGGGTCCTGGTGGCAGGCCAGGCTGCTGGGTGCAGACAGGAAGGACGGTGAGCCCTGACAGGAGGGCAGCCCAGAGCACAGGGCCACCCCCCCACGGCCCCCACGTGGATTCGCTGTAATCAGGAGCCCCAGCCAGGGCGGGGGTGAGGCCTGGGGCAATGCTTGACACCCACAACTGCCTGTGAGCGAGCCCACGGCCGTTCCACTTTACGTGGCACATGAGTGCCCTAGGTGTCTGCAGAAAAGTAGGGCAGCCTGCAGGGACCACACGGGGGGACAGCAGTAAGGGCAGCCTGCAGAGGGCCACACACGGGGGGCACAGCAGTAAGGGCGCCCTGCAGGGGTACACGGGGGGGCAAGGGAGCAGTAAGGGTGCCCTGCAGGGTACACGGGGGGGTGGACAGCAGTAAGGGCAGCCTGCAGGGACCACACAGGGGGGACAGCAGTAAGGGTGCCCTGCAGAGGGCCACACACAGGAGGGGACAGCAGTAAGGGCGCCCTGCAGGGACCACACAGGGGGGGGACAGCAGTGAGGGCAGCCTGCAGGAACCACACGGGGGGACAGCAGTAAGGGCGCCCTGCAGAGGGCCACACACGGGGGGAGACAGCAGTAAGGGTGCCCTGCAGAGGGCCACACACGGGGGGACAGCAGTAAGGGTGCCCTGCAGGGGTACACGGTGGGGGGACGGGAGCAGTAAGGGCGCCCTGCAGGGGTACACAGGAGGTGGGGACGGGAGCAGTAAGGGCACCCTGCAGGGGTACACAGGGGGTGGGGACGGGCGCAGTAAGGGGGCCCGGGGACACAGGGGGTGGGGACGGGAGCAGTAAGGGCACCCTGCAGGGGTACACGGGGCGGGGGGCAGGAACAGGAAGGTGAAAATGAAACTCCCGTGCCCGGGGCTGGGGGCCAGCCGCCCCGCCGCAGTCCTCCTCCCCTCCAGCCCTGGCAGAAGGATACCACACCGTCAAAGGTCTCCCCGCACCACTCGAGGATCTGCCGGAGGCGCGTGCGGTGCTGGCCGCCCGCCTGGCTCTCCCCGATCAGGGCGGAGTAGGTGGCGAAGAGGACGCCCTCTGAGGTAGTATTGTCACCGTACTTGATCTGGGGACACAGGACAGGAAGGCCGCGTGTGGGGAGCGGGCAGGGCTGGCCTGCTGCAGGTGGCCCAGGACACCATGCCACGGCGTCTGCGGGCAGCGGGCTGGTGCCACACACCTTGCTGAGCGCGTGCACCGCGATGCCAGGGGCCTCGATGTCCCGCAGGTCGCGCTCCGCATCATACTTGAGGTCGTTGGAGACGCTGAGCCTGGGGAGGGCAGAGGGTCAGGCACCTCCTGGCGCACGGCGCCCCCCACAGGCAGGGCACTCACCACAGGGCCTTCTTCCGGCCCCTCAGGTAGTTCTCCAGGATGATGCCAGCCACCGTGCGGCCCTTGCCCACACCGGCCCCGTCGCCGATCAGGAAGCCTGCGCGCTGCCCGCTGGGGAGCAGGACCTCGTGCTGCTGCTGGCCGGAGGGCGGCGGTCAGGCGCCCCGCCACTCCCTGGGGCTCCCGCCGTCGCGGGGGGCAGGTCACCTGGCAGGCATACGTGATGGCCTCCAGCTGCAGGGCCGACAGGACCCCGCGGTCGGGCAGCGCCAGGGAGTAGGTGATGTCCGGGGGCGGGACGCTGGACAGCGTGCTGGTCTCCACCACTCGGTCAGGATGCTGCTTCCCAATCTTGGCTGGAGAGGCGGGGCGTGAGCATGGGGCGTGGCCAGGATGGCCCAGTGGTGGCATGGCCTGGACCACGAGGCAGGGGAGGTCCGGGAGTGGGCGTGTAGGGGTGGCAGGGAGCAGGGGCATGCCCTGGACCGAGCAGGCAGCTGGTGTGTAGTGGCGTGGCCTCGACCTGGGGGCAGGCCGTGGGCGTGGCAGAACAGGGCCAGGGCTGCGGGGGGTGGGGCGTGGCGTGGCCTGTGCGCGGCAGGCGGTGGGTGTGGCCTGGGCCCTGGTCCGCTGCTCGGGGCTCTCCTCCCCACACCCGTCCTGTGGGCGCTCACACTTGAAGGGCACGTAGTCCGCGTAGGTCTCCGTTTGGCCCAGCTCCTCCACCTCCTCCTCCTCGGCCTCCTCCTCGTCTTCGTGCTGAGTCTGCGACTGACGGGAGTCGGGGCTCACCGGGTGCCCGGGCCTGACCTGCCCCGGGGCTGCCTGCCTGTCCCCTGGCTGTAGGTGGGCCGCCTGCTTCCAGGCCGGCTCAGTGTGGCACGCGGAGGGGCCGGTGCGCAGGGGCCCTCCCCCGCCTGAGCAGGCAGCTCCTGGGGCTCACCTGGTAGCTGATGAGAAGTGGGGTGCTGGGGAGAGAAGACACAGGGTCCTCGAGGCGGGGAAACTGTGGGGTGGGCAGGAACAGCTGCAGGGGAGAGCGGTGTCAGCCCACGGCCACCAGGGGGCGGTCTACACCTGTGCCCAGTGCCCCAGCTACCGCCCTGGACCCTGCCTGCAGAGCGTGGGCCCTGGGGAGGTGACCCTCAGCCCGGGGAAGTGGCAGGTCTGGGCTAGGACCTCCCCGAGCACCAGGTCGAGGCACCCAGGAACAAGGGGGACTATGGGGCGGGGGAGTCTGATCCAGTGGTGGACGCAGCCCATCCTGGGCCTCGAAACTGGCTGGACATCCAGACCCCACCCTCGACCTGCCCCCCCCAGCTCCAGAAGAGGTATGGCCTATTGCCCAGACTGCCAAGCGGCAGCCAGGAGAGGGTTCCAGGACACACAGGGCAGGCAGGGTCGGTGTGACCCCTCTCAAAAGGACAAAAGGCCAGCCCCCGTGTGGCCAACTGGGGCGCGAGACCCAGCCCTCCCGCCAGCCTTACAAACATGCATGCCAGGGTCCTGCGGGGCAGAGCCGGGTGGGAAGGGGTCATGGTGTGACCCGGCCCTGGGGGGAGTGCCTTCTCCTGAGCACACATGCTCTCCGCCACGGTAAGACAGAGGAGCCCACCAAGGTCACACCGTGCCGGAAGCCGGAAGCCGGAAGCCAGCCACTTCTAGACCCTGCCCCCAGAGCCCCAAGGCCTGCGTGGGTGCCTGCGTGGAGCGCCCACCGGCCCCAGAACGTGGGGTAGGGAGGGTCCTCAGGGACTCAGGAAAAAAGGCAGAGGTATGGCCAGGACCCTGTCCTCCGCCCGCCCCAGTTCAGCACATAGACATCCGGGGGCTGAGCACGCCCGGCCGGCCCTCGCGCCCTGCCCAGGGCCTGCGAGCAGCCACGGGGTGGGGCCTGCTGAGGCCCCCTCTGCCAAGGTGGGACGGGCTTGGGGACAACTGCAAGTGGCCAGTTGGAGCTGCCACGCGGGGAGTGCCAGGCCCTGCCTGCGGACGCCCCCGGAGGCCCTCAGCCCAACAGCTCCAATGGCCAGGTCCAGAGGCCTCCCAGCCTGTCCTCCGGCAGACCACCCTGGAGCCAGGTCTGCATGGGTGGGGGCGCCCCTCTAACCAGGGCCCCCGCTGCCCAGAACTGGGGTGGGCCAGAAGCTCCTGGCGTCAGCTCCTATGACCCGCCCCTCTAGGGCTGGTCCCGCGGGCCCACGTCCTGCAGAGGGTGTCATGGAGGCCACCGGCCCGCTAGCCCCAGGAAGCCACCAGGAGACCATGGACCGTGCTTGAGCGCCTGCACAGCCCTAGGACCGCTGCGGGCCTTGTCGCTCCGCTGCCTTGGGTCCTCGGCTCCAGGACCCGCTCTCGCTCTCATCACGTGCCTGCAGGCTGTCCAGGCCCCACTCCAGCACTGGGGACAGTGGGGTGGCCCGCTGAGGCCACTCCTCACCCCTGGGCTGCACAGACACGCCAAGGCCCTCCATCCACACCCGCCCCAGCACTGGCAGCGGGAAACCTGGGTGCTGGGCGCACTGACCGTGTCCTGGGAGGAGGGGGCGGTGCTCACGTCCCAGATGGTGGGCACCTGGCTGAGGCTGTCGGCCGGCAGGAAGTCGGGCGTGTCCGCGATGTCCGACAGGGAGTCCACGGACGAGGAGAACACAGAGGCATTGGAGAGGTCCTCGAGGTACGAGGGGTCCTGGAAGACAGGCCCAGGAGGAAGGAGGGGCGCGGCTAAGGGACGGCCGGGTGGCACGCCTCCACGTGGTGGAGACTTGGAGGAGGTACCCACACAGGCCACGGAGCTGGACCTGAAACTCCCTCATGCTCAGTGAGAACACCAGGCCCGGAGGCCACACAGGGCCCCACCTGAAACGCCCAGGAAGGCAGGTCCGTGGGGACGGGGGCCCTCGTAGGCTGGGGCAATAAACCCTTGGATAGAAACGCTATTTGCACGCCTGGAGGTGCTGACTGTACTTCCGCTTCTTAGCCTCCAGAGGGTGCTGTCCCTGCAGGGAGGGCCGAGGGGGGCACCCCTCTCCCCGGGGCCGTCGGCCCTGACCCTCCTCCACTGGTCCATCCCATCTGGACTCGGGATGTGCAAGCACCCCATTCCAACAGGGCTGGCCGCGGCCCTGCCCTGCTGGGACCGCCATGGCGGGCAAGCCCTGCTCTGGGGCTTCAGTGAGGGGCAGGCTGACGGGGAGGACTGACCGCCCGCAGGCCCTGGCCCTGCCCTGCTGCAGAGGTGTGGCGAGACATGCACGCATCGTTTTCAAACTTTCCAACCATCAGTTCTGCCAGAGCCCCACAGGGGGAGAGCACGCCACCGGGGGACATGGCCACGCCACGCCCCTCCTCCCTGGCATGTCTTGGGCACGCACACACGCGTGCCTGGTTGTTTCTGAAGCCATAGGCCAGAGTTCTAGCCAGCGCCACCCGAGAGAGCCAGCTCCCTCAACCACGGGGTGACAGGCCAGTCTTTGACGGCCAGCTCTCCCCTCCGGTCCTATCCGTGGGGGCCACTCGAGTGCTCGGCCAGTGGACGGCAGGGATCGGGGAGCTGGCCCACCCAGGCCCCACAGCAGCCCACACGGGGCTGCCCACACTGCCCGTCAGACACGGGGCGCTGAGTGCCCGGCAGGGATCAGGGAGCCGGCCCACCACTGAGACTGCTGCTTGCTGTGGGGTGCTCACAGAGGGACCCCGACGACATGCCACAGGGCCCAGGCAGTGCCAGCAGCCACAGCCACGAGGGGACTGAGTGCCACCAGCCTGAGAAGGCCCCAGCCCTGGGGGACTCTCAAACCCACCTGCTCGGCCGGCTGCAAGGAGAGCGCGGCCAGCCCGGCCGGGGGCAGCTACGGACAGGGGGCCCCTGAGAAACCGTCTGAGCAGAGGGCCGAGTGCCCTGGGGTGGGGGCGGGGACGGGCACCAGCGGCCTGAGTGCTGCATGGGGCTCAGGATCTTTTAAAATTACTTATTCATTTATTTTAATTTGAGCAGAGAGGGACAGAGCAAGCGAAAGAGAGGGAGACGGAAGGTGAGAAACCAAGCCGCCAGGTCTGGGACTCGAACCGCATTTGGCCACATGGGAGTCCAGTGCCTCTGACTACCACGCCACCTGGCAGCCCCGAGCTCAGCGCTTTCCGGGGCGCCTGGGTGGGCAGGGGCAGGAGCGACCCCACCCTCCTGGGCCCTGCTCACCTGGGGCTGAGTACAGGGGCAGAGCCCTGCACTAGCCAGCCTCCCTTCCCCAGGGCCCTGGACCACCCACCCCGCCTTTCTAGCCTTTGCCTTCGGGGCAGTGTCCGGGGCTGGCCACTCCCAGCAGAACTGGGGACTCCTGTGACCTGCCAGGCAGTGCCTGCGCAGCCCGGGGGTTCAGGACAGCTCCGGCAGTGTGCCATTGCACACCCCTCCCCGGCTGGCCTGACCGGCCGGCCCCACACACTCCCTCAGGGCAGGAAAAAGCACTGCCCAGTCGGAGTTCCCACGGGCCTGGCTGACCCACAAGACCACACAGGGTGGGCTGGACAGACGGACAGGGTGTGATGGCCCCTTCGCTTTCTCCGCTGAAGTCCCACAGAAGTCTGGCCCTCCCCCAAAGCTGCCGGGCTCCCCCACACTCCGCCCCCCCAGGGCTGCCAGGGGCCCACTCCACACTCCGAGCCCCCCACATGGCTGCCGGGCTCCCCGCACACTCTGAGCCCCCCCACATGGCT